CAGTACATTTTTACCTTTCTTTCCCTTCTCCTCCCTTCCATAATCTTCCTATCAAACCCTTGGAGGGAGAGGAGAAAGTGAGACAACAGCTCTGTTACTGAAATAAAGGTAACTGGTCTCAAGTCAAAGGCACAGAATACATAAGGGCAAATTGCGGTCCAAAAAAGCCACCCATCTACAGTGGAGCTATGTCATCTGCAGATGCCCCAGTTACCAGGACCCAGCCTCCCCTCCTCCCTGCAGGAGCCTGAGTGGGCTTTTGCCTCCAGCCCCCATCAGCACACATTCTCAACACCTGCCTCCGTGGCGTCTCCGGGCTTGCTAGTGCTGCCCCTCTTATCCAGTACAGTGGGTGTAAACATCAAGTATTTGCCATGTTCAGAATGAAGAAATTAGCAAGCACATTGTGAGCCAAATCGCTTGAGTTCCACTAACAGGGACCTCAGGAGGGCACTACAGTCACCCGCCTAGAGTATGAGAGGCCACCACCAATTTATCCCTGAGATGCACGAAGTGTCATAACACTGAAGCCCCCGCAAGGGAACAAAAGGAGAAGGAAAGAAAACCTGTGTTGGAAGGGAGCACAGGGAGAGGCAACTGAATAGGAAAAGAGAGGAATGAGAAAGATCATCTAGTTGCTCAAATAATATTTATGAAATATTTGCCACAATCTATATATGTTAACTTATTTAGGCTTGTCAGTCCTAGTACTAAAATGACTTCTGTTGCACTTCCAGATGGGCAACCGCACAAAGAGAGACATTAAACAGCTTGCCCAGAAGCATACAGCTAGTACCTAACAGGCAGTCAAGTTCTAAACCTGGAGAGTCTGCCTCTCGCTCAAAGCCCTAGACTACATGCGCCAAAACGTATCTCACAGAATGCAACACACCTCTGGGCACCTCAGAGGTGCTTAGTGTAACCATAAAAGTAAAAAGAGATCATCAGGGTCAAAATTGCAAAATGGTATGTTAAATGAGCCCTTTTCTTGAACGATTCCTCAGAGCTTTTGGTGCTTTTTCTTTTATACTGCTAATGAACACTGTGACTCTCCTACAGAGGACCAGACCCCATGTGCGCCCCAGATTTATTCATCAAGAGCTTGTTTTCTTTCAGAAGTAAGTGTTGTTGCAGGTCCCACTTGGAGAAGCACTAATACATGTCCCCAGGGCCCTTTGAGGGAAGGGGCTGCTAATGGGGGAAGCACAGGGGGACTGGTAGCTCTGGAACTGTGGTAGAACTTTAGACCTCAGCCAGCCTCCTGCAAGGCTGGTCGTTGGGCCCCTGCTCCCCTGCCTGCCTCTGCCCGGGGCTCTCACTGACTGCCTACCTTACGCAGCTCTCTCTACAGGATGTCTTTCTTTGTAGACATCACAAAGGAAATTTCTTGCCTGAATAATTGCTCTTTTTGGTTCTGAACTTTTGTCCATCCCTTCTGTGAGCATATATGGCACTGAATCATTAGAAGAATAAGAGTAGGCATCTTTGCCCTACACTCACAAAGGCTTCCTTTGGGAAAAGTAACGTTGATGGCTGTTATATTCCACTGAGCAACATTAATGATTTGCCTAGAGATAACCAGTTTCCCAGTACCAGGTGAGATGCTTTTCTTCCAACTGCCCTGGAATCAATTACATGACAATAAGTGCTAGATCCATGCAGGCCTGTTGTTCAAAGCTCAATAAATAACGTCAGGCAGAGTCCAATTACAGCTCAATAACTATTTCTGAAATGCTTTGAGTCTCCTAACTATTCACACCAACACCTATGAAAATCAGAAGCCAAAGGGGCATTTCAGGCATCAAAGTAGAGTGCTAAATGTCTGCTCACCTCTGACTACAGGCCAGGACCCTGAGACAAGCCATGGTGATGCAGAGAAGCTACCTTGAGTCCCACAGGCATAAGCATCATTAAACAAGATGTTTGGGGGCTCCTAATAACAGTTATTAAATCACCAAACAAAATATTTAAATATATGGCCTCATAGTGTCACTACCCTGCTCAAGAACTTTCCATGGCCCCCTACTGCCAAGAAAAAAATTACATAATGGCATGGGATGCTTTTCATAAACTGCCCTAAATAACTTCATATTATTGGATGCTAGCATTCCCATGTTGGGCCTCCCTTCTCTTTCCATCCCCTTACATCTCAAGTCCAGTCCCTACCATCTCCATCATGAAGACCCTCCCACCCCATCCCAGTTCATATTTGTCAGTTGAATTCTGAAAATTCTTTTCTTTTTTTCAACAAGTTCTGTTGCTATAAACCATAAGTCCCCCCCACCCAGCCACCCATCTTCACTACACCTGAACTCCTCAGTTTAGGGGGGGAAATGACTTTTCCTGCCACTGACAATTTCCACAGGAGCCCAGCCATTCTCCTAGTTTGTGGAAGATGAAATGCTGCACGTCTCCATCGCCTGTGGTTTATGTTTTACCGAGTGGTGTCAAAGCTGATATAGTAACCTCCAATTTTTATTGAGCAGCACACAGTGTAATTGATGACGTCTGCCAAGGCTGGTATTTTAAGTGAAAGCTATTCTCAGCTCTGCCTGCTCTCCCCGCAGCTTTGTGTATAAATAGCCAACAGCAGTGACACCCGCGCTACAAAGCGGGGACACTTAGCGAAGGCCCTCAATTATAGCTCATGAAGTCATGAGGTTTCTGGGGCAATTCATGTGAGCAAACCTAGTTTTCAAATGTGCAAAGTGGGAAAAAGAGATAGCAGGGTGGGACTCTGTTAACACAATTCTCACTCCCAGGAGAGAAAAATCCTCATTTGGATTTTTACCTCTGCACATCTAAATACCGTATGCTTTTTGGTGGGAAATATTTCAGTGTAACTCCCAAACCCAGGGTGATAATCATATATGCTCTCCACATAGTAACTTACACCCACCTCCACCACGTATTCCCTCCTCTAACATGCAGTAGTAAAAATAAAAATGCTTCCCTTGGCTGAGTTTTTGTGTTTGTTTGCGAGCCTTGTAGAAGAATAACTCTGACAGCTATTTGACCCCTGTCGCACAAGCACCAATTTCTGGTTCTGAGCTAAAAACCATCAGTTCACTGCATCTACCAGTTGAGTTGCCTTCCCCAAGCAAAAGCCTCCTAGGGCCGTCTGCTGATGGGCTTCTGTGTCAGGCGCAGAGGGGGCACTGGAGGCCCTGCACCTGA